ACAAGTCTGTTTTCCAGTACAGAAACAGACCTTTGATTGTTTTAGGAAGATGTCGAGTAAACTAGATCCTTAATACATGGGCTGCTTCTTGCATTGGTGTGATTGTAGTTGACCTATAAATTACAGGTGATGTTCCTTCCTGTGCATCTTTTAAAATCATGTGTCTACCACTCCAGTTTCAGAATATCCTTCTACGGTACTTTGGCATATCTTCGTTGTAGGAGCTGTCTCTGCTAGTTTGCACACATTTCCCACACTGAACACCCCATATGAGCACACTGTAAAGTGAAAGACTGGAAGGCTAGGAGACATGAATTCAGGGGCCACGTCTGCTCTGAACGAGCTCAGAGACCATCCCATCACTGCCTTAGTTTCTTCATCTGTAAAGTGGGGCTTGCACTGCCATGCTCTCTGAAAAGACACACAGCTCTAACACTTACTAGGTATGTGCGTTTGGGCAAGATAACTCCTGTACCTCTTCAGGTGGTAAAACTGAGATGATAATAACCACTACAGAGAGTTGTGGGAATAAAATAACATACAAAAAAAGCATTTGTCACAACCCCAGGTGCATTGGCAGGCCCTTAGTAAGTTTCCTTCCCACTATATACTTGTCCTGCTCAGTCCCTGAACACAAAGCCATGCAGCCTGCAGCAGTCACAGCCTGGAAAATTGAAGAATCTGGGTTTTTTGGTAACTTCACTGAGCTGATCAGTCAACAAACTCTGCAACCACCTTCCTCTGTACTTATGTGAAACTGTTTCCTATTTTTTAAGTCATTCTGCACAGGGTAATCTTTTAATGGAGTCCCTGGATAATGCAAATAGTTCATGCATCTGATTGCTAACCAAAAGGTTGGAGGTTTGAATCCAACCAGAGGCACCAGGGAAGAAAGGCTTGGTGACCTACGTCCAAAAAATCAGTCATCAAAAACCCTGGGGAGGAGCCCCTATGGTCTCACCCCTTCGGGAGGAAGGGAGAATGAAGAAAACAAGATATAAGGAAAAGATTAGTCCAAACGACTAATGGGCCACAACTACCACAGCTTCCACCAGACTGAGTTCAGTACAACTAGACGGTGCCTGGCTACCACCGACTGCTCTGACAGGGATCACAACAGAGGGTCCCAGACAGAGCTGGAGAAAAATGTAGAACAAAATACTAACTCACAAAAAGAGACCAGACATACCGGCCTGACAGAGACAGGAGAAACCCCGAGAGTATGGCCCCTGGACACCCTGTTAGCTCAGTAATGAAGTCACTCCCAAGGTTCACTGTTCAGCCAAAGATTAGAGAGCCCCATAAAACAAAACGAGACTAATGGGGCACAACAGTCCAGGGACAAGGACTATAAGGCAGGAGGGGACAGGAAAGCTGGTAATAGGGAACCCAAGGTTGAGAAGGGACGGTGTTGCCATGTCGTGGGGTTGTTAACCATTGTCATAAAACAGTATGTATACTAACTGTTTAATGAGAAACTATTTGTTCTATAAACCTTCATCTAAAGTGCAATTAAAAAAAAAAACCTATGGAGCACAGTTCTACTCTGACACATATATGGTCACCATGAGCCATTGCTGACTAGAGGACAATGGATTTTTTAACCTGTTAAATACATAGTTTCTAGGCTAAACTTCATAGATTTTTTTCTTTCCCTCTTAAAATAATATTCCCTGGAGTGTAGTATGCTAGTGGCATATTTAGCTTGTTTAAAAAAAAAAAAATTGTACTGATCTTGACTTTGAGATTAACCCCTTTACTCTGCCAGAGTAAATATTTCCTCAGTAGTATTGTTTCAAAGTACCATCACACAAAGGGCAGCCCATGGAATTTCTCTTCTCCTGTACTGCTGCTTTGATACTGCTTCTATCAGTATTTTTCAACTTCAGTAACATCCAAGTGAGGCAGTGGAGAGTGCTGACATTATGACTGTTGATTCACATGTAGCCTTGAGTTGCCCCGGTGAACAGTGGGTCTCGACTGCTTGTCAACATTTGATTGTGGTATGGTCACATTCCATTAGCTACCTGGTTTGCAGTAGAGCCTATTTGAATTAAATATTGCAGTTACTCAAGCTTGTGAAATAAAAATGGGAAAGAATAATTTTGTTCCATTCTCAAATATAAAATAGGATCGTGGATCTTTCAGCTTAAGTTAAAAAATAAAAGCAAAGATTGTCTGCAATGGTTTTATTCCACTGGAGCTGGCATTGTATGCATGTTATCATATTTAATCTAAATACCGTTTACTCACACAAACGGAAGCGAAGCAAATTAAGATCAATACATCATGCAGGCCATCACTTGAAGACGACATTAATTTGAACCAGTACTGATTATACTTTCAAAGTCTGCTCTTGACCCAAAGCGTGGCTCACAGTGGGTATTTTTGTTGGAATGAACTGACAAATAGTTAACAAATGGAAAGTTCTTCCTGTGGACACTCCTATGGAGGATTATGGGAGTGAAAAGAGGCTTTATTGGAAAACTTAATTCCCCACTTGCAAAATGGAGCCTGAGTCCCAGAGTGTACTGGGCAGGAGCACATATTCTGAGCAAATCTTTGGGGCCTCCCCAGAGCAGTGCACCCAAGATCTCCATGCTGCAAACTGCCTCCTCCTCAATTTATCCACTGCGGCAGGCAGGATACGGCTCTGGCTTTTCCATGCTGAGAATGGAACCAGTTCCAGTCTGGGCTGTAGACTACTAAACTGCCCCCTGTAGAAACACTCCATTTATTTCATTCAACCCAGCTGAAAGTTGGGAAGGTGAAAAAGCATGTCCTAGTCACAAACTCCTCATGAGAAATGTGCAAAACCAAGGGCAAGCTTCTCTTAATTATACCTGGTGACTGTGAGAAAACCAGCTTGTTCCATGTTATGCCACCCCAAATATGAGTTCAGTGACCTTAACTAGGCCTTCCTTTGAAAACAAAGTAATCAAAAACCACAGAGGAATTTGTTAATACCAACAGTTGTAACAGCCTTCTTCAAGCTGCCCTCTAAATTTACCTTATCCCTTTGACGTTTTTACCAATATGTTCATTCATCCAACAGATGTTTTTTGAGCACCAACTCTGTACCAAGCACTATGCTGAGAGCTGGGTGTCCTAAGTCCCTGACAGAGCTTGGAATTCAGCTGTCAGACTTGTCTGCCAACAATTACAAAGTCACGGTGATGGTGTGCTAACGGAGGGTGTAAAGTAACCACAGACGGAGCTGGGCAAGTAGATTTAAAAAAAAACACAACAGTTACCATTGAGTTTGACTCATGGTGACCCCATGTGTTGCACAGCAGAACTGTATTCCATAGGGTTTTTAAGGATGTGACCTTTGGAAGCTGATCACCAGGCCTTTCTTCTGAGGCATCTCTGGATGGGCTCAAACCGCCAACCCTTTGCTTCATAGTCAAGTGCTTAACTGCGCCACCCAGGGACAGGTAGGTAGGGGCTGGAATATGAAGAGCTTTGTTCACTATCCAGAGTTTTGACTTTGTCCTGCACTGTTTCTCAAAGTAGGGCTTGGAATGTCTCAGGGTTCACAAGTTCCCTATAAACATTTTTATGTTTTTGTTCCAATGATAATTTTATTAATAATAATAAGAGTAGGAGTAAAAACATTCCACCTCATCTTGATGATCATTTGGCACACAATTTCAGTGCTCATATTCTAAGGCAACAGGTTTTATTAAGTTGGCACCAAGGCAAGGAGATAACAAAGCCATACCAGCTGAAGGCGAAAGGAGGTGTTATTTGTACAAAGACGGCACCCTAGCTGAAACAGAGATAAGCAGTGGGAGAACTAGGTCACTGTGTGGTACCCAGTGGTAGTAGGTGTGCCAGACTCCAACTAACCCATGCTGTAGTTATTCACATTGCAAAAGACAACTGAGTTTCACTAAAGAATGCCATTCATCTCATTAAATTAAGGCTGCTTACTTGAATGTAAGAAATTTTGCTCTGTAGTTTTTTCATAATGTATTTTTTCCCTTTTCGTTTTATAATTCTATATATCATAAGTGATAAAGAGTTTATATCTAGTTTCATGTTTTTTAAACCATATTTAAGAAACACTAAAGATTTAAGTAACACTGGAATTTGTAGGAATGTTCTTTTCCTTTAAAATGGGTCTGCCCATTACCCAAGTATGAGCAAGATGGTCATAGACTACTGGGAGCCACTGAAGAATGTGAGCAGAGATTGGCGGGAACAGATTAATATGTTAGGAGATCACCTTGGCAGCCACAAAGAGGAAGAACCGCCATGGAGACAGACTGGAGATGGAAAAACCTCTAAGGAGGCAAACTGTATGAGTCCTCTTATTAAAAGACTCCGTTTGCTTAATCCCAGAGAGCTGCTCTCAGGCAAACGCCAGGGTATTACAGAATTAAACACTCAACTGACAAGCAAAGCTGTCCTGGTGTTTCACAGCATGCCTTATCTAGCTGGAAGACTCTCCAAACTTCTACATGCATCATTTCACAGAGGATTCTGTGATGATGACAGAACCAAATTAGGACCAAATCCCTTGCTTTACTACAGAGAGCCAACAAAGTACGCAAGAGAAGATGCTATGTCCCTGGTAACAAAAAAATAGTCAGGGCCATTGCATATGGTTTTGCAAGTCAGTTGGAACTGACAAATGGCTCTTCACCAAGCCATGTGTCCCTGGGGCTGCATCTGCTCAGGGAAGGTGACTTTTTCTAATTTGCACGAAAGCTAGATGAACTAGCTCAGCCATGACTCTTGGAGAAGGCTGCATCTTCTGGAGGAGGAACCTTTTTCTAATTGCATGAAGGCACCCTATGAGCTAGCTGTGATTTAATCCCGCTTTTCTGAGGTTAGATCTCATTAATATCACTCACCAAACTAGCACTACAAGTCAATCAGGATAAGGATTTCTTCTTCCTGAAAGTTTTGTGTGTAAAGCATATGACTTACCCGTGAAAAGGCATAGCAGCAAGGCACTCAACAAACAAAAAGAACTAGATGCCCTTGCTTACCTCGGGGGCCATCCAGAATGGGGTGCCAACTGATGTGTTTCTCCGTAGACGCGTACTGGTGAGTTGGGCTGAGACACCTACAGGAAGAGAGTGTCAGAATTCAGCCATGAGCAGGGGATGATGCTAGACCAGAGACTGGCAAACTTTTTCCATAAAGGGCAAGATAGTAAATATTTCAGGCTTTGTGGGCCATATGGTCTCTGTCACAACTATTCAACTCTGCCATCGTAATGCAAAAGCAGCCACAGACAAGGGAGCATGGTTATGTTCCCATAAAATTTTATTGATAGATATTCAAACTTGAATTTCATATAATTTTCACATGTCACAAAATATTATTATTTTTTTTATTTTTTCCTCCCAACCATTCAAAATGTAAAAACCATTCTTAGCTTATGGGTCATACAAAAATAGGAGGCAGGTCAGATTTGGCCCACGGCTTGTAGTTTGCCAGCTCCTGTGTTAGAGCATTTATCATTCTATCTAAATTACTAGAATTTCTTTTTCCCTAATGAACACTACCATCCATATCACTGAAAACCTGGAATCAAAAGACAACAATCAATTACTAGGATTAACACAAAATATCTTCCTATTATATTTACAAAACATTTCAGGTCATTTCTTTCTTAACAAGGTGCTTCGTTTTATGGAGGAAGAAGATTCGCATACATTATCTATACGGACTATCAGCATAGAAAAAATTTTCAATGCCTTATCGTACCTAGAGGCCTGGAAACCTGGCACAAAAGCACTGCTTGTCAAAAGGAAAAGAAATTGACTAATATTATTATTATCTAGGGTTCAATGTTGAGGATCTGAATTTTAATATGCTTCCAACGTACTTAATCTGTCTTTGTCCTCAGCCAGCTCTCTTCTCTATACCACAAGAGAATGAAGTGGAAGAAAAGGTACACTGGTTCAGCAATCAGAAGACAGATTTTCTATCCCAATTACACCACTTACTAATTGTGTGAGTTCAGCAGACCACCTCACCTTTGATCCTTAGTTTTCTCATCTTCAAATTGGGAATAACGATACTCCTAACACAAAAGGTTCCACTTAAGACCAAATGAGAAAACAAATGTGAAAAATGACTTATAAATGATAAAGCACTACAAATGAAAAGTAATCTTTTTATACCAAGCAGAAATCTAACGCAGCCCTTAAGAGAATGACAAAGGTTGCCACTAAGGCCGGTGATGACAAGAACTTAGAAACCTACCTGGATGGGTGTGTTCATTAGTGAAGGGCACACCTTTGAAAACATCAGGTGTAGATTTGTCAAAGATCCACAGATTGTTTTGGGGGGTGGTGGTTTTGTTAGCTGCTTAATCAAAAAAAAAAAAGCAAACCCGCTGCTGTCAAGTCAATTCCAACTCACAGCTACCCTACAGGACAGAGTAGAACTGTCCCATAGGGTTTCCAAGGCTGTCATCTTTTTCTCCCGCTGGTGGGCTCAGACTGCCGCCCTTTTGGTTAGCAGCCAAGTGCTTAACCACTGCACCACCAGGGGTCCTTGTTAGCCATGACATTCTCTCTATTAGAAGGCCAAAGAGGGCTCTCTAAACTCTATTAGCTATGGATAATTTCCCATTTTACCAAGTCCTCCACTATAATTTTGGTTAAAAAAAAAAAATCGTAACCATATGTTTGTTTTTAATATCTAGGAATTTCTTTTGCAGCAACTAGAAGTTCCAGAACCTTCTTCTGGAAAGATTAGGGGCTTTTACACTGATGCCAAATTGTAAAGCTGGTACGTGGTGAGTCAGCATTAATCCCTATTCTCATCCTTCTAGGCTCTTTCCCTTTACAGCACATTCACGGCTTCCAGGATCATGTGGAAAACACATCTCTGATGGTATACACTCAACATACTATTGGATTTATACTGATTCCTTATACAGAAATGCATAAAGCATGAACAAACTGCCCCTTCTGCTATTTTTCCTTGATTGCTCTTTAGGAAATAGACTAATACATCTAAAGCAACGTCATTTATTTTTAAGTAATCTCTTCTGAGCAAATGATTCACTGATGTTTTAACACCACATTCTTTCTTATCAATAAAACAATGAATATCCAAAATCCATCAATCTTTTTTCTCCACTATGTAAACAGTGATAAAGAACAATTTAAAAAGTGCTTCTATAAATCTTTTCTCATTGTTTTTAACAATGATCTTGAAGTACTAAATATTGTTGAATTCATTTAGAAGATAAACCACTCAATAAACTTAAAAAGGAAAACCAAATGACTTGTTAGTTTGTGAATATCGCTATATGAGCACTGCGTGGAGATGTTTAATAGTTCTCTGGCCTTAGGTAACATTGCTCTGCATTTCCTCTTACACTTCCATTTCCTGTTAATGTTTCCAGTTCAACCAGTCTCACATGTGGCAGCAATAATCACAATTTAAAAGGACGTTAGCTCTCAGGTCCAAAGGACTATTTTACCTTTGGCTCATTGGGAATAACTGTGCCTAAGGCTAGTGAAAGTCATTTGAAAGACCAAACTGCTTTCTCTTTTCATATGCAAAACAAGAAATAACAAAATGTAAATTACAGACAATTGCCCTGAGACAAGAAATTCCTACCAGAAAACCAAAGTTTTTCCATCAAATTCTTCTTTGGAAACACTTTTTTTGTTATCTTTAATAAAATTGCTTCTAAAGCTGAAAATAGATTAACAAACAGCATCTCCTAGGGTGATCCATCTGGTAAAGCCTCCACTCTCCAGTCTGCATTTAACTGGAAAAGTCCTTCAGTCTAGGGCTTAGCAGAGAGGCCCCAGTCTTCAGAGATTGCAATCAATTGTCGCCTTTGGCTAAACCGCACACATCAAGAAAACAAAACATGCAGTCATTACCAAAGTCAACGAGCTTAACTCCTCCTTCTGTTGTCAGAAGAATGTTATTTCCCTTGACATCACGGTGGATGATTCGGTTGTTGTGCAAATGCTGAAGGCCCTGCATGGAGTCCCACCACCACCAAACAACAGGAAAGAAAAAGGGGGAAATTTACATGCTTATTCAAAAACAATTACCCTACTATTTAAAAGTCTAATCAGAGTCCACATTTAGCTTCACCTCCCTGCTGTTATAAACCTTGCATATTAAAGGGGATTTCCCCCACTGTTAATGTGCAACAGAGAGCCAAGCAAAGGACAAATTGCTCCCTCTGCTGTCTTCACCAGCTGGATGGACATTCTTACCATGAGGGCTCCGTACAAGATGTATGAGATCACTGCTTCATCCAATTGCTGGCCACACTTGAGCAGACCTTTGACAAGCTCCGTGACCGAGCCCCCGTTACACAGCTGCAAGAGGAGGTGGCCAAAGAAAGAAAAAGCAGGGAAACATATACAAAAAGAAAAAAGAAATAAAGAAGAGTCCAGTGATTACTGATCAGATGTATATTTAAGTAACTATGCAGTTCATACAACTCCAGCTCAAAATAATTAGACTTCAAATTTCCATTACACAGTCTAGTTCTTTGTGAAGGCGTGTGTGTGTTCTTTATTCAAGGTGACAATTTATAAATAAAAGCACATGTCCAAAAAGCTGACTTTTAAAATGTCAAGTGAAATATAAATGCACAAGACGTTATTTAGAAGCTTGAAAGAAAAAGCATATATGGAATCACGGTGAGTTATTGAATATTTTTTGCTTCATATGAAGTCTTTTTTAATGTATTTTTAAATAAAAAGAAATGAAGTTCTGATACATGCTACAACGTGGATGAACTTTGAAAACATTCTGCTAAGTGAAATAAGTCAGTCACAAATACTGGACAAATATTGTATGACCCCACTTTTATGAAATTATCTAAACTAGATAAGTATATAAAGACTAAAGTTTATTAGTGACTACCAGGGGTGAGTGGGAGAGAGAGGAAAGGGGGGACTTGTTGCTTAGGGGACACTGAGCTTCTGTTAAAAGTGATGGAAAAATTTGTAAACGGATAATGGTGATGGTCGAACAACATGATGAACGTAATTAATGTCACTGAACTGTGCATGTAAAATATGTTGAAATGGCAACTGTTATTGTTACATATATTATTTACCACAACTTTTTAAAAATCTAAAAAACAAATGGAAAAAACAAAGGACAGAAGAGGCGAGATGGATGATGCCCTTGATACCTGGGAAGGAATAAATTTCCATCATTTCAAACCTTTCAACAACCAGTGCTGGCACTGCAGGCATTAGAAGCCCAACTAGCAGCTGTTTCTAGAATTGCCACTGCATGGAAAGCTTATAGAATGGAGTTGCATCAAATGTGCAGTTAATCTTCTCATATTCAACTCTAGGCTTTCAGCAACTTTATGCTCTTCTTTTTCTTTTTCTGTAATTAAAAATACTATAGGATTATGTCTTGCATATTTGGTCTTTATTATATATTGTATATTACTGGGATTTGAGTACTAACAAGGTGTACTATACTGTCTTGGCAATTTAAGGGGTGTCAGGGTAATTTCTACTACATAGTACATGAATTTTTACTCCCTAATTCAAAACACTAACCCCGGAAGTCAATTTGCACGTTTGGGTTTGCTACATGCCATCTAAAATCAAAAGTTCTTAACTGATTTGAGCAAGGTATGTAAACATCCTGAAATAATAGGCATCTTGCATTTTTCTGGAGAGAAATTTCTAAATTTTCATCATATTCTCAAAGGCATCCTGACCTTAAAGCTAAGACCTTGCCTTAGAGACTGAAGATCTCCCCGTGGCACTTGGTTTGCAATTTGGGAAAGAGTTAACTATTATTTCACAGGGGACAGTTCTCTGGGTTGTGGCTGCTTGAGTCAACTACCTTTTCTTAAGTAAGGAAAACCGAAGGAGCATAGATTAGCACCTTTTCTAAAAGAGGGCAACTCTTTATCAAGATAATAATACATTAGGATCTATTTAACTCTAATTATGAACATCTCACAGAGAGTAAGAACCTTACAATAGGAGGGAGAGCCAGGGACCAGGGACATCAAGAGGTACTAAAGGCAGACAGCACAGTTTTATCATCACAAGACCTTGGTTACCACATGGTTCATAGGTCTCTGCCCTCACTGCCATGGCTTTAAATAAGCATCTACTTATTCTCAGATCCAGATGCCTCCCAGGGAGAAGAGAAGGGGAAGAGGGAAAGGAGAGGCCCTGAAAAACTGAGTTGTTGTTAGTTGCCGTCTAGTTGGCTCCAACTCATGACGACCCCATGTACAACAGAACAAGACATTGTCCAGTCCTGTGCCATCTTTACGATTGAGTCCATTCTTGCAACCACTGTGTATTTTGAGTGCCCTCCAATGTAAAGGGATTATCTTCCAGCACTATATCAAACAATATTCTGTTGTGACCCATAGAGTTTTCATTGGCTAATTTTCAGAAATAGATTGCCAGGCCTTTTTTCCTTGTCTATCTTATTCTAGAAGTTCCACTGAAATCTGTCCACCATGGGTGACCCTGCTGGTATTTGAAATACCAGTGGCATACCTTCCAGCACCAAAGCAACACACAAGCCACCACAATACAACAGACTGACAGACAGGTGGTGGAAAAACTGAATACCTACCCTGAAATGACTTAGCTTTGAACTGGACTGTGAAAATGGGATATAAACACTGGAATCTCCCCTTCCCAAAGAAGTCACTGAATTGGACTAAGTTCAGAATAGGTCAAAATCAGTTGTCTCCTCTAGGCAGACCACGGGGTCAAGAACAAAGTTACCTGTTTGTTCTCAATAGTTCGTGATGGTCCAATTTATTACCTATTGATAGCCAGAGCAGCCAGCAGCTGCTCAGTCATAATCAAGCAAGACCTCCTCCTCCTGTCCATTATCATCAAATTCTTAAGTGACAGACAGCACTGCATGTGGCTCAATTAGCAGTTGCTCAGCCATTAACAAACAGAACCTGCCCCTTCTTGTCCATTGTCCTTAAAGACCCTGAGTGTTTGTGTGGCTCAGTTCCTGCCTTAAACCAGTCAAACCCAGTTTATTAGCTTCAGAAGTATAAGATCTCTGCCCAGGGTGTGATTTATCCACCATTTTTTGTACATACTAAGGAGAAAAATGCGATTTGTCTTACTGTGCTTGCGCGCCATGATAACGTATGTAGTCCATGCTGTTTGGATGTACTTCCTTGTGAAGGATGGTGTCATGGATTGAATTGTGTCCCCAAAATATATGTGTATCGATTTGGCTGGGCCATGACTACCAGTATTGTGTGATTATCCTCCGTTTTGTGATTGATATAATTTTCCTATGTGTTGTAAATCCTAATCTCTGCCTGTGGTTAATAAGGCAAGATTAGATTACGTTAAAGAGGATTAGGGTGAGATGTTAACACCCTTGGTCAGGTCACATCCCTGATGGAATGTAAACAGAGTTTCCCTGGGGTGTGGCCAGTACCACCTTTTATCTTACAAGAGATAAAAGAAAAAGGAAGCAGGGTTGGGGGGACCTCATCTACCAAGAAAGCAGCACTGGGAGCTAAGTGCGTCTTTTAGACTCGGGGGTCCCTGTGCCTGAGAAGCTCCTTGACCAGGGGAAGACTGATGAAAAGGACCTTCCTCCAGAGCCAACAGAGACAGAAAGCCATCCCCTGGAGGTGATGCCCTGAATTTGTACTTATAGCCTACCAGAATTTGAGAAAATAAATTTCTCTTTGTTAAAGCCATTCACTTGTGGTATTTCTGTTATAGCAGCACTAGATGGCTAAGACAGACAGTATAAAAGTTTCTTCACCCCTCCTCACCTCTGGTGTGTCTTTATTGACTAGAAGCCACACCAGTCAGGACTTCCTGCAGGTAACACTATCATTCAATCATAAATATAACACAGCCCGTGCTCTCAAGTAGCTCACAGCCTAGTGGGGAAGACAGACACATAAATGAATTAAGAGTGTGTGATGTGGGAGGAGAAGTGTGCCTAAGGTAGTGTGGTGGCCCAGAAGAAGGAGTAGTGAACTCTGCCTGAGGTAGGGAGACAAAGGGACAGCCTGGGAAATCTTCCCAGAGGACATAACATTTACGATGAGTTTGAGGGGCAAATGGGTTTTCAGCAAAAGGGAAGGTCATCCCAGGAAAAGGAACATCTTGTGGAAAGGAAGAGAGCATGAAAGAATGAGGGGGGGGTGTGTGTGTGTCTGTGTGTGTCTATGTGTCTGTGTATAAATACTCTGCTACTGTTGAGACAAAGGGCACGAGGATCCCAGGGCAGGGAGATGGGAAAGGAAGGTGGGGAATGGGGAATGACAGGTGTGTCTTGCTGAGCAGTTTGGGCTTTATTAGTCTACGTTACGTGTGTCATAATACTATGATACGTCACTAGAGAGAACAGTAAACCACTGAGAGATTTTAGGCAGGAGGTCTCCATGTTCAGATTTGCATTCTAGAAAGATGACTCGGGCAGCAGACTGGAGGATGGCCAGCAGAGGAAGACACCAGGAGCTGGGGCACCTGTTAGGAGGCTGTTGGAACAATGCAGGGAAGCAGGGTCAAGAAGCCAAGAGTCATAGTATAGAGATTAGGAGGACAGCTTTGGGAGGCTTTTATAAGAGGCGCAGCAGGAGTTTTTGACCAACAGGAGATGGAACGTGAGCAAGAGACACAGTCTATGGATATTGTGAGAATAAGGGCAATATCAGTGAAGGTCTTTGATCCTCTAACACAAAAGCAGTGATAGGAATGCAAAGCATTGTAGCACCTTCATCAGAACCACTCCTCAGCCTGGCTCCCACTGCAGGAGGCACACACTTTATTGAACTGCAAGTGTGCTATTAAAATTCTACTGAGAGAAAATTTAAATCAAATGCTGGGTGATGATCCAACATAACTCATCCCTGGAACCTCCCCTGAAACTTCATTTTAGTCTCTCTCCTGTCCTACTGTAAGTGTGGCCAACTTTTGCAACAGGGCCAATTAGGCAGTTTTTTATATAGGAAGCCAATTTATAAACTTTCTTCTAAAACACGTGAAGGGATTAACAGTAGCCATTTTGTCAGCAAAATCAAAACTCAGCTGTGGATTTAAAAACAACAAAGGGATTTTACTCAGCTGGTGCCTTTGGTTCACTAATGTCAGAGTTTAAGAGCTGTCTGACTTCCCATGAGTCACAGAGACATACAATTAAACTGTTCAGGGCACCTTGAGAGGAAGCTAGCCTGTGAAGCTGAGATGTCCACCAGCAAAGGCTTAAAGGGCAGCCCGTGGGTTATAAAGAAAGGACTTTGGGTATTTGGATGTAAAAAAAGAAAGCAGGTACCCACTGACAATTGTCTAACCAGAGTAAATGTTTAGTGAAATGGGCTGACCATTGT